ATACAGAAAGCTAACAAATCAATACTTGTACATCACTGCCTTACTCTCGGCCATAACTTATTTTTTAACAGATTAATTAATCCTAATGAATGAACACTTCATTTATTTAAACGCACCGCGGATCATGAATTAAAATTTCATGGAGTGATTAAAAGCTTGTAAAAGATGCATGATTTCGTTAGAAATTTCTAATAAATCAGAGCCGAGCAGCTCCTGACAGGACAGCGATTTCTCAACGCGTCTGAACTTGAAACGGGTGGTAATGATGACTTCTGATTTCAAACAGGACGTGCACTCTCATTTTCGTGTGACAGAGCTCCAGTTAGCAATGCCCAGACAGCTCTGCTCCAGATAATCAGGACATTGCCATGCAAATCCCATCCAGGCGTGTTCTTATCCTTCCCCTGAAGGTTTCGCCAGCACCGCACCCTGGGATGAAAATCACAATTAAGGCTTTCAATATTTAATATTACAACGTTATACACTTTGGATGAAATCGGAATTACTGCAGGTTGTATACAGTCAATTAGCTGTTCTTTGCTGATCAGAGGAAATGACTTATTTGGACACGAGAGTCCTTCTTGTGCAATCAGGCAGCGCCTAAATTGTTCGTTTGATGTTTTTTTTTGCACGGTGGTGTTCTCATGGTGGAAATTCAGTCGTTTATTTTAAACTCGCGAAACGTACTTCACAAGTAAAAACATTCCAATAAATTAAAACACATTGAAAATATATTGTATGTCAGATACGGTGTATGCTAAGTAGGGAAAGTATTGAGTCTTGACCCAGATTATTGGGTCAAATTGAAATATAAAATAATACAGGCAACCCTATATTAAAAGTTTCTGTATATTATTAAGTTGCCAGACCCATTTTGCGTAAAAATAAAAAAATCTTCATCTTTATCGCTCGTAAAATATATTTGCATTTTATTAAAGTGGTGTATGTATTGATACGGTTTCTCAATTAGCATCATTGTGGAATACATCACTGGACTGGCTCCTTCTGAGTTGGTGAAACTGACCCGAAATTAATTGATCATTTCATGTCATTACAAATGGATTTTGTATCTTTGGGAGCCTCACTGTACCTACTTTGGCGTATGGACAGAATGAAATGATAGTAACTGTTTATATTGGGGGACGGATACTTTATTTTGATCACAGGTTTACAGACTAACTCATTACATAACTTAAAATGTGTATGTTCAGTAGATAATGTAGTTATAAAATATATTTATTTTATTCCTTACGGTGCTTTTAAACTTGGTATTTTCACAATAAGCGATGTAACACGCGTTTTAGTATGCGGATGTATAGAACAGCATGAATGTGTATTACCTAGACATAGAAACAGTATTTAGAGCAGACTCACCAGCTAAGGCAGTTGATATTTCTGTACATATCTCAGCCTATTACAATTGAGTCGAAATACAATTCTAATTGCTGGAAGCGGTTCTTTATTCTGCTTGTGGTGAGTTATCAAAGGGGATTTACATTACGTTTACGTTTTGTATTTACGTCATATGGACCATAAAAGCTCTCAGCACTGAGAGACGTGTAAACCGCATGTGCTTGTTTAGCATTGTTCAATTCAAAAATGCGCCTTTAAACAGCCAGGTACCTATGCAAAATGCACACTGAAGCATATTCAAAAGGTGGCAATGCACCATTAAAACAATTTATCATAAACTCGATGATAAGAATGCAGTCGCACATTCCTGCACATCAGTCTCAGTAGGATTCCGGTTCACTCGCAATTCCAGTAGGAGCTGAGTGCTGGCCATTACATGTGCACTTCTACATTCCCATATGATCAAAAGATGATAATATTGTTCCAGCTAAGGCTACCAGAGATTTCAGTCGACTATCTGCAATAACCTTACCTCAGTACAGTAACTAGTGAAGCAGCAGTGAGCAGTAGCAAAAGTGAGTTTGGCGATTTCAACCCCCCCTCCCCTCCTCACCCCCTCCCCACCCCCGCCCCTCCTCACCCCCGCCCCTCCATTAATTGATGCAAAGGGAAATTTATTATCACGTTTTTAATATTTAATAGTGTAACGCCAATCGATGCGTGGGATTTTACCTGTTAGCAACCTCACAAGAGGTTATGATCCGTCAGGCCTGATGTTTGTCAAGCAATTGATCGTTTTGTAGTCCTGGACAAACAGCTATTCATTCATAGGATCCGAAACTACAACCTTCGAGTAAATGTAGCATGCTGATACTGGTACCAGTATTTTTATTTGTCCAGATACAAAACTTAACAATCAATGCTCATACAGCAGGTTAGAGCACGATCTCATACTGGTGTTAGTTAACTCAGTTAACTCAGTCTTTACCATAAATATACCAGCCACTGTTTATGGTTGGATTGTAAAACAAGCGGCTGGTGCGTTTAACTTCTAAACGTTGCATGTTTAATAATAGTAAAACTATCATTAATGCTGCTCACCTTTAATTTGCGTTGGTTCTACAAGAATATTTCCCCGTCGATTGTCCATAATAACAGTTGACTTGATCAGTTTTAATCCTTAAAAATATTGGAATAGGTAAACTTGAAGAAATACCAACCTCCTATAAACCAACGTATTGCAATCTCATACTGTTGCAGACATGTCACAACAACAACAACTTGCACTTATATAGCGCCTTCCACGCAGGGTAGCGTCAGAGAGTTACTATATAATATTAAATCACCAGTAATAATAAGCTCAAATGAACTACATCATTTAAGCTTTTTTGTTTTCAGTACATTTTCCGCTACAAATGTGAATTAAGAATGCACAGGTTCCTAAATTACTGTACAGTTGAAGTTCCTCACATTGATATTTGATTATGGAGGTGCAATGTAAAACTTAGGATCCTTTATGTTAAAAGAAGCATATCAACATCGAAGTCAAATATTGGTTTATGAAAATACATCTGCTAGTTATTTAACAACACCCTTTTCATATATTCACACAGGTTCAAATAATACTGTACAAACCATAAATGAAATGTCGATGTTTTTCACGTGCAAGTAATAAGTGTTCAGAAACATTTGCAGTCTTACTGTTATGAACCTTTTATTTCACATGACAGAGAACTATTTGAGAAACTTTTCCAGAGGCATTTAAAGTGGAACGTTTTAGCCACTTAAATTTTCACCGCTTGATTTATCTAACAGCAGAATAAGCTGTTCGCTTCTTAATCGACATCATTACAGGATAATGGTGGTAATAACATGACCTTTTCTGGTCATTTTTTAAACGTATTGAATCGAATGGCCACTCGGAGCAGAATCGTTTGAAATATATATATTAGTCCCAGTAAGCAACACATTGTTAATGGTCTCGCCAGGTTGAATGCGGAGAATCAGCGAGGGTTAGAGTGTCAACGTGCAGAAGTAATGCAGTGAGAGATCCCAAATGTACAACATTAGGTTTTATCCAGTGAACTTAATAAGTGCTTTGTGTTTACGTCTATTTAAGTAGTTGCTCAGTTGTAGTGCTGCTGCACTTAGGCAAGGAAATGAGGAGCTGCGAGGGCGCTCACACACTCGCCTCTCGCTTCCCCAAGGAGCAGAGGAAGGTTGTGCTTTCTCCATTACAACTCCACACACAAGGAAGGCAGAAAGCCCAGTCCTTCCCTCTTCAATGTGTGAATGGTTTATTAACCTTTGACTCTATTATTTGGCAGAAACTGGTAACTTTTAACCACTAAACAATGAAATTATGCTGGTTCCTCTTCCCGTTTCTAAGTGAACCACGTTGAGACGTTCTCCAACGCGAGAGGCGCGATATAAATGTAGATTGCATTGCATTGCATTGTAAGTACTTGTTGCGTTAACGTAGACGAGGTGAGACTTGTTGAACTCTTGTTGGTCAAAAATAGATCAAATGTGAAACTCTGGATAGAATGCGACACGAAAACTTTTGGGCATCTTAGCTCAACTGTTTACTATTAACTAGAGCGGAGTGTTAATATTTTAATAATATCGGTGTGTGTGTGTGTGTTTGTGTGTGTGTGTGTGTTTGTGTGTGTGTGTGTGTGTGTAGCTGATCCAACCCTCCAAAATGCGAGTACAGTGTCTACAAAAAGAGGTGAACAATTGCTTTGCAAGAAATGTAATTTACGCAGTTCAGCAGTGAAATAGTCCACTACTGTTTGGCATTTCTTTTTGTTTTACCTGATGTTGCAATCGTGTCATTACATGAAGAGTTCACGGGGGGGTTGGATTTGTTTATAATTGGAAGTTTGTATTGTGGGAGTTGTAGTTTCCTCCTCTTCTCTCTCTCTCTCTCTCTGTGTCTCCTTTCTCTCCATCTGCGAGCGCATCAATCAGTGAGACCAGAGAGACAGACGAGCGAGAGGTTGAGGGGAGGGGGAGGGAGAGGAGGGAGGGAGGGAGGGAGGGGAGGAGTGCGCCTGCGTACCTGGGCACCTGCTCGCACAGTTCTCGCCCTGGACCAGGTGCGGCGCTCGCGTTCGGCCTCTCCGGGCTTCACGTCTGTGCGCACGTGCGAGTAGCAAAAGTGTGTGTGGGGGGGCGGGGGAGGGGGGTGGGGGGAGGGGAGGCTTCGGGAACAAGTGTGGGAGGGGGGGGGCACACACACACACACAGATCTCGCGTGAGCGCAGGAGGGATGGGACAAGACTTGGGCGCAGGTGTAAGTGGCTCATCTGTCTGCCCCCAACAGCAATAGAGAGGCAGCATTCAGAGACACACACACACACACACATAGCCGGAGTGTGCAGGCAGACAGCCAGACAGCCAGGCAGGGGCACACCGCAACCGGCCTGTCGCTTCGTATATATATATACATATATATATATACATACATACATATATATATATATCGAAAGAGAAATGCATATATATCAATATATGTATATAGAGTCATAACTTTTTTCTTTTTTTATTTTATATTTTATATTTATATATATATAAAAGAAAAAAAATACTGCCCCAGCATTATTTTCTTTCTCTCTCTCGAATCCATATGTACAGCGTTCAATATGATGTCCATGAACAGCAAGCAGCCAGCCTTCGGCATGCACCATTCCCTACCTGAGCACAAGTACACTTCGCTGCACTCCAGCTCGGAAGCAATAAGGAGAGCCTGTCTGCCAACGCCGCCGGTAAGTCGCGATCTTCTCCCTCCCTCGTCCGCCTTTCCCCGTGTTGTGGTCGTGAGTGAGTAGCGGTGCTCGGCACCTTTTCATAAGCGGGCGGTGGGGGGTTGTAATGTGTGTCGTTGAGCCTTTTTGCAAGATTCTGACTTCAAATCCTTCCAGTGTTAGTGTTGATAAATTGAACGCCGACCTGTTTTTTTTTTGGTGAGTGTGCAGAGCGGTGGAATTGTCCTGTGGAGGGGTAGCTTTGTTGATTTTGTTTTCTTCTCTCCCCTTTCTCCTTGTGTGTGATCGCAGTTGCAGAACAATATCTTCGCCAGTCTGGATGAAACTTTACTCGCCCGCGCCGAGGCTCTGGCGGCCGTGGATATCGCGGTGGCCCAGGGCAAGAGCCACCCGTTCAAGCCGGATGCCACTTATCACACCATGAACACCGTGCCATGCACTTCTACCTCGACAGTGCCGCTCCCGCACCCCTCAGCCCTGTCCTCCCACCACCACCATCACCACCACCACCACCACCAGCCGCACCAAAGTTTGGATCCCGGGGAACTCCTCGATCACATCAACTCGTCCTCCCTGACACTGGCCGGGGCCATGGCCGTAGGACCTGGTTGCCACGACGGCGGCGGCGTTGTCTCCACCTCTTCCCACTCTCACGCAGCGCACATGCACAGCCTGGGTCCCCTCCATCACCACCAAGCCACCATGAACATGACCCCTCACCCCCACGGGCTGGTCGGGCACGGGGGTGTCTCTGGGATCCCCTCGCTCAACGACGTGGATGCAGATCCCCGGGAGCTGGAAGCTTTCGCCGAGAGGTTCAAACAGCGGAGAATCAAACTCGGAGTGACCCAGGCCGACGTGGGCATGGCTTTAGCCAACCTGAAGATCCCCGGGGTGGGCTCCCTCAGCCAGAGCACCATCTGCAGGTTCGAGTCCTTGACTTTGTCGCACAACAACATGATCGCCCTCAAGCCCATCCTCCAAGCCTGGCTGGAGGAGGCGGAGGGAGCTCACAGGGAAAAAATGAATAAGCCCGATATCTTCAACGGCGGCGAGAAGAAAAGGAAAAGAACCTCCATCGCCGCCCCCGAGAAGCGATCCCTGGAAGCGTATTTCGCTGTTCAGCCGAGACCATCGTCGGAGAAGATCGCGGCCATAGCTGAGAAACTGGACCTCAAAAAGAACGTTGTCCGGGTATGGTTTTGCAATCAGAGACAGAAGCAGAAAAGGATGAAATTTTCAGCAAGTCACTAGTTGGAGGAGAAGAAACGGGATCCCTTTGCTCGCAGATACGCAGAGACATTTTTTTTGTCGGGGGGTGGGGTGGGGGTGCGGGGGTGGGTGGGGGTGTGTGTGTTTGGGGGGATCGGGAACAGTTGTGATCCTCAATGACTTCAGACTTAATTCCTGTACTTTTTTTAAAAAAAAAACTGTACAGTGGAGCAAGCAGAGGCTTGAAAAAGGCAGAAACATGTTATGGTGGTAATGCAAAATCATCGGGTTCTGAGGCATCGTGGTGTTTTGTGTTATTTTTCACGTTATTGGTGAAGTATGCAAATCACAGGTAATTCAGATCGCCCAGTTTCTGTGTTGGAAATGTCGAGATGACTGTAAACTGGCCAACCCGGCTTTTATCTTTTTAAGAAAACAAAATCTGAAGGGAAGTTGATTGATGTTCAGTCACTTTAGTATTATTTAAATCCGTCTACCCAGTAATATTTTATTCAAGTTGTCATTTCTTAGCCATTTTTAAAACCATTACCTCGATACGTTTTACTGTTATCCACGAGCCCAAACGCTTTTGGTGTGTTTTATTATTTCGTTCCCGAGTTTCAGAGGGTAAACTGCTCAGTTGCAAAAAGGTCAGGCAGATCTCACGACTGCAGTGCCATTTATTCGATGCGGTGGATAAAGATGCGTTGATAATAGTTTTACCCCAAAAGTACGACTGGTATTTTATTTCCTTGAGAGCACAGCACCATATTCGTACTTGTGGACTTTCTGGCCTGATTTGCTGATTTGCTGTTTGAGATAGTATTAATACGGATCAAGGTGCAGTATTACTAGTATCATTTGGGATTCCTCGAAAAAATAAACACCATTGGCACTCCGCAGTGATAATCGTTCCCGAAAGGTCTGCATGCTGATCAGATCCACTTTTTTTGTTTAACGTACGTAACAGACATTAGTTGTCAGCACTCTGTTTTGGTAATTGCACTAAAGTATGTTGCAGAATTTAGTATACTGTATTGGTTGGGAAAAACGTTGTTGTATTATGGTTTACGATCAAAATATGAAGTGATGCTTGCATCAAAGCTTGTTGTAGGACTACCAAAAGTTTGCGCATAAAATATTCACACTAAATTATTGATTCTATTTTGGGTAGGAATATCTCCTCTAACATAGGTGCGCAGAAGCAAATTAACCGCATGAGCTGAGGATGGATACTGACTATTTGGCGACTATGGAATAAAACAAAAGTGTTCTATTATTGTTTGCAGCGCAAACAATCTATGCATTGGTACATAAATGAGCACTACTATAGAAATAGCTTGATAGACCCTGTGGATGGTATAATTTCACTGTTAACTGCCTGTTTTCACTAGACACGACATTCTGATCTTGTTTATAACTGTACATAGGTGTTTATTGTAAATAACTTTTTTTGCGCACATGTATGTTTACAAACTGCAGCCACGTGTGCATCATAAGAAAACAAGTCTCACTTTAAGTCAATATCCCTGTCCAATGTATATTTGCCAAGCTTTCTCCTGGTTGTGTTTTTTAAATTTATTTATTTACTTATTTATTTAAATTAAATTATTTCTGTAAGCCAAATACAGCAGGGAGATGTGTCTCAGCACATTTACTAATAAAAAAAAACAAGGGAAACAACTGTGTTTGAGGTGTAGCGTTTCTTTGGTTACTTTTGGTCGATTGAAACTGTAAGTAAATAGAGTTAAAACCGTGAAGAAAACGCAGACAATCCACTTAACAAATATCGACGCGACTTTCTGTTTAAGGTAGTTCCTACAGTTTATAACTCACGTAGGTTAGAAACAACAAATTTATAAACTCAAATCACCAGAATTGAAGAAAACAGTGTATTTGCTCGCGGGTAAGGAGCCGAGGCGTTCAATGAATCAGAAATGTTAAGAAAGAAAGAAGAAAATCCCAAAACGCAAAAGGCTGCTTGCGTAAGTTTATTTACAATAAATAAAACGAATAAAGTCTAAATTTAAAAAGACGAAGTTTTACACAAGTCTGCAAAACAACATTCCGTGATGAAGAGTTTTAATTACTTGACACGACTTACGTGTTATTCACTCCCTGTATTTGTGGTTGGAATTTGTAGGCACGTTTTGTGATGCCACTCCTGCACCACTAATGTTCATCTTACATCCCGGTTAAGACTTCTCTGTTCAGATTCAACGTTTAAACCGTTAAGAATAAACAATGTACTTAAAGATCTTAATTTTTTAAGTCAGTGCTTAATATCGAAGTATTTAATAACGCACACTCAAAAAAAAAAGTCAACTCTTTTACAGAACGTTTGGGTGCCTTTCATTTGAAATCGTTGACCATGTTGGTGTTATCTGTTGAAACAAAGAAAATATTGAATATAAAATACACGAACTGCATTTGTTGTCTCGTTTTCTCAAAGAAATAATGCTACAATGATTATAATCTTGTGAAAAGTTAGTCGGATGTATTAGATGGACTCCTACCTAAAACAATTACTATGTTAATATATTAATGAATTAAGCATGTGTGTGGTGGGAGAGAAGGTGTCAACTGAGAATATTGTATCACTGTTGCACATTTACACGGGCAAACTATTTGAGCGTCTTTTTTAAAAGTCTAATTTGACATATAATAATAATAATAATCCTTGCATTTGATATAATGCCTTATCGCATCTCCGAGACGTCTCAAAGCGCTTCACATAATATACTGTAAAGTGAATTGACTGTATATTTTGTGGATATGGATGTTTTTCACCGCAACATAATTCAAATAACAGTAAAACAAAGGATAGAAATTTTACACATGTGACAAGTATTGCTGAAATGCAAAAATGAGTGCACCAAAATTATTTTTAAAAAGTTGAATTTGTTTCAATTGCAAATCCGCGCTTAAAGATTTAGTTAAATTTGGAGCAATTAGCTCACTTATCCATATTTATTAAGGAGGAACCAATGCTGCCAAAACCGAAATCCTAAAAAACTTTGTTGATATCTACTTTTAATTGGTATTTCCCAGCTTCATATTTTGTTCGATTTCAAATAACTCTACTGCCCACTGAGATCTGTTTGGAATAGGTGAAAGTGCTTGAAACTCATTTCTGCAGCCTTTTAACATACAATCATTTGCGCAAAAACAAGAAGTCACGACCCACCCAGGAATAATGCGAGAGTCGTGGAATTCACGTGTAACACTTGTACGGCAATTGGTTTCAACTTATATTAAACCATCATAAATGAATAATAGACGCTCACTGCCATGATCCTATTGATTTTTCCTCTTGTCTGATACCCTGGCTAATTTCTCTGCTGGTTCAACAAGATGAACGCGCTTCAGTGCGGCAGAGGATATCAGACTTAGCCCATGAACCTTGGGATTTTCTGGCAGAAATCATGTTATAAATTATTGTTAAAACGTCACCTTTTGAAGCAGGGTCAGCTCTCGGTTTATTTTTAAATTCTCTTTACTGCAAAAGCAGAACACATAATGAATCATATCTACTATTCTGTAACACGTTCTTGTTATACTAAAATACATTCCGAACGGACTGATCCTCAGATACAAACCTTGCACACAGCACATCTGCTGTTTATTCTTCGCATTTAGAAAAAGACTGAATGCTATAAAAATGCTTAAAATATTTTTAAAGAACATTTTACTTTCCAACATATTACAAAGTGTTGCTGGAAAATGTATAAAAATACGTAAAATAAGGTTGGTCAATATCAAGTAACATACAGCAATAATAATATATTTATTTAAATACGCAATGGTAATAATCTTTACCACAGATCGGATCTATTCACTAAATAACATAGCCCCACTCACCTATCGCAATTATTGCTTTTTGTATCGCAATTTGAGATCCAAAAGGATTCTCACAAATGTAATTACAAATACTTTGTAAATAATTCATGGGCAGAGATTCAGCAAATTAATAAAACGAACGATGACAAGAGGCTAATTAAAAACTTTGGTAATTGTTGTCAAGGCAGCTTTGTTGTGTGGCACGTTGGAAAACCCGCTTTGAAACAAATCTGCATTGATAACAAGAAAAAAAGCCCCAGTAGGATTTTAAACGCTTTGAACTTTATTTAATTTACATTTATTTTTTAATTGCATTTAACAAGCAATTTATTTCACTCCTTCGCTCTATGAATTTCCTCCCGACCTGCTCTTTCGCGTGAGGCGTAAAATAGCGGAAATGCCACAAGTGATAGGAAAATTTGATCCCCCCCCCCCCCCCCCACCCCCACCCACCCCCATAGGAAGTGATCAATGACAGAAATCATTTAATAGAAAAAAAATAGCTTTTACACGGATAAAACACACAACCATTAGAGTTTAAAATGATACCATGTGTAATCTAGCCGTTTCGTTGCAGCGAGGAGACAGTGAATGATAATTCCTTTGTAAATGAATAAAATACACCCACAATATTACATCTACTCCATCTGTCCGTCTTAATTTCAGTCAATTTCGTTGTAAATTCAAACGGTCCGAATAACATTTGGGGGGAAGGTTTGGGCGTGTGTGGGGGTGTGTGGGGGTGGGTGGGGGGTGGGTGGAGGCGTCTACATTACGATCCATCATGTTTACAATTTACATTCACCACAAGTTATTCTCAGCAGCGGGCAGACAAATGCTGTTGTGAAGAAACCTGTACTTTCTCGTAAACACACTGCAATTTACTACGAGTCGTGATGCGAACCCGGGAAGGTTTGTACAAAGGTTGATGGAAGTTAAACGGACCACCTATTTAACTGCAGAACAACACATGATATTTCATTTCGAATTCATACCACCGCCGCCTCAATATCACTGATAAGGAAACGGGACACATTGATAAACACCGCAATCAATCCAACTCCACGGTGCGCTTAATAGGCGTTTGAGGTGCCGTTTTACAGCTTTTATTTTGATGACATTAAAAAAAATCGGAAGCGGCTTTGTTCAGTTAATAACAAAACAAGAGCAACACTAGATGGCAGTGGCAGAGGTCATTCCTGCCCGGACCACCTCACACAAATGAGATA